CTGATTTAGAATGAAATATTAAAGAATTGCCACCAGCTCTCTGGATCTGCTTTGGAAAGCTTCCGTCTCAGGGAACCCCTGCCGGGAAGGTCCCTGAAGTGGAGATCTGCTTGGCATTACGAAGCTTGACTATGAAGGTCAACCGATAGTTCTCCCAAGGTTTCCAAAGACTTGGTCCTTCCCCAACAGCCTGAGCGGATTTTTTTTCTACATTCCCAATACTCAGTGTCCTAAACTAGGCCTGTCTTGAGACACCTCACACACACATACTGTGACAATACTCACCAGAGGGAAGACTGAGTCTGTGCTGGATGGACGGCTACTCTGCAGAGATGGTGTGTGTGTGAGTGTGAGTGTGTGTGTGTGTGTGTGTGTGTGTGTGTGTGTGTGTGTGTGTCCTGTTCTTCCCCCTCCCTCTCTGGAATAATCACTTTATCAAAGCAGGCAGGAGGGACTACCTACCCCTACCACTTTTCCTTTTCCCCCCTTATACCAGCGGGGAATTACGTGCATTCAGGGAGAATCTGCTCAGCAAATCTCCCACTTCTGAACCTGCAGCTGCAAAAACCAAGCAAGAGAGGGAGAAAAACTAAATGGAACTGAACTTTCCATCTGACAGAGTCAGGCAGAGTTACGAAAAGCATTGGTGGTGGGGGTCGGGGGGATGTCACCCGGGAGGCTCCTTTTTGCCAGAGGATGGTGCTCTGCTGACTCTGAAATAAAGGCTGTTGGTCTGATGCCCTCTCTTGGCTTTGGTGCAGTGTGCCACATGACGAACCATGGGCTGGTGGCTATTGGGCACCAAAACACAGTGATATGAAGGAAGATGCCATGGAGATCAACTATGGTCTTTAGCAATTCACTCTACAATTCTAATAGCCAGAGACGAGCCTGAGGGTCCTAACCCAAAGAAATGAAAATGTTCAAGGATATAGAAATGCTAATTGCCCTGATTTTACCATGATACATGTAGTATATACATGTATCAAATTATAATAGCCTAATTATGTCAATTAAAGAAATCTTGAACCAGGCATGGTGGTACATATCTTTAATCTCAGCACTCAGGAGACAGAGGCAAGTGGATCTCTCTGTGAGTTGGAGGCCTGCTTGGTCTACATAGTGAGTTCAAGACAGCCAGAGGTACATATTGAGACTCTGTCTCCAAACCAGCCAGCCAGCCAGCCAGCCAGCCAACCAACCAACCAACCAACCAACCAACCAACAAATTTTAAACTGGGCACTGTGGCTCGTGCCTGTAATCTCAAAGTTTGGAGACCGAGATAGAAGAACTGCTGTGGGTCCCAGGTTGGTCTGAACATCCATGAAAGACCTTATCTCAAAACAACAACAACAATAACAACAACTAAACCCCAAACAAAGCAAAATCAATCTTGATAAGATGGAAAATCCAAAAGCTAGATTGTGTGGGAGGCACTGAGATCTTGCAACTTCTTTCTTGGGAGAGAAAAGGGTTGTGAATAGGAAGATCAGAATATTTATCACTGAACACTCCATGAAATCCCCAAAGCCACTTCCTGAATTGGCGAAAGCACACAGGCAGGCAGGAAGTGTGTAGAGATCTCTGCTTCCCTCCCAACATGCTCAGAGCCTCCCTTTGGGGTTGAAAAGGTGTGCCTTCCTGAACTGTCTAAGGCTGTGCATTTTAGAAGGGATTGTATGTTAATTATAAAAAAAATGTTGAGCCTCTCTATTGTTTAAGGGCAGTATACAGTGTTCTGGGAACAACAGAGGACCATTCCTCCTTTTTCTTGGTCTTACGGTGTGCTAGGTATGATTTTTAGGTACTAGAAGGCCATAGCTATTCAAGAAGCTTAGAGTGAAATGAAGAACAGATGTCAAAGGAGCGGTGAGGTGCAACTGTTATTGTTTATTTCTTAATTAGAGAAAGGGGTTTTTCAGATTGGTATGATTTATGATGTTCGCATTAACTGAGCCTTTGGATAATGAGCGCCCCTGAACCCCTGAGACAGAAGGCTTATTTCTAGCTGGTGGGGAAGGCAAGGATTCCCGGAGAAGGTGAGACTCGGGTGAAGGCTCCCACTGAGGGGCCAGGAAGATCTGAACAGTGGATAGACACAGGTGATCCTGGACAGGGGCGACTGTGTGCGGCAGGAAGTAAGTCTGGATGGGAAGATGGTTGGGCACCCTGGCTGCCTGGAGGGGGACAGAATAAGAACAGCCCAGGGAAGAACAGGTTGCTAGGCATGGTGGTGCATGACTAACCTCAGTATTCAGGAGGCTGAGGCAGGAGGCTAACCTGGATGTCTCAGAAGAAAAGAAAAAGGAAACAGATGGGTTGGGTCAGTGTCAATTCCCCTAATTAGAAAAAGAGGAATTTCTGCAGTAACTGGAAGCCTGTAACTTTTTTTTTTTTTTTTCTGAGCAGGGGTAAAAGGCACATTCAAAGATTCATCTCCATGTCCCATTTGTTGACTAAGCTGCAGAGTTGACTTAATGCTGTGAAAATGTGGCCACAGATGGCAGCCAGGATTAAGTGCCCCAGAAGAGATGGTCTATATCACAGCTGTGTAAACGGCCATTCTCTATCAGCACAGAGCCTTGTTAGACAAGTGTTCTGATGTCTCAGGCCTGGGTGTAGGCGTGATTCTGGGGAAATCCAGGTCCCCCTATGGGGTTCTTAGCCTCACAAATAAACGGACTCAAATGGAGGCATAAGGACAATTTTATTAGAGATTAAAAGAACCCCCCCCAAATAAATAAAAATAAAGGCTGGGGGTGGTGGTGCACACCTTTAATCCCAGCACTCAGGAGGCAGAGGCAGGTGGATCTCTGTGAGATCTACAGAGCGAGATCCAGGATAAGCACCAAACTACACAGGGAAGCCCTGTCTCAAAACAAAACAAAACAAAACAAAACAAAACAAAACAAACCAACAAAAAACAAAAAACCAACACAGCCCGACCGTGGTGGTACATGCCTTTCTGGTGCACTTGGGAGGCAGGTCAATCTCTGTGAGTTCGAGGCCAGCCT